ACCCTATGGGGCCACGAAGCGCGTGAGGGGTGCGCCGAAATCGAGGTGGAACTGCATGCGGACCCTGCCGCTTGGGCCTTCGGTGGAGCACCCTATGGGGCCACGAAACGCGTCAGGGGTGCGCTGCGCCGAAATGGAGGTGGAACTGCATGCGGACCCTGCCACTGGGGCCTTCGGTGGAGCACCCTATGGGGCCACGAAGCGTGCGAAGGGTACGCTGAAGTGGAGGTGGAACTGCATGCGGATCCTGCCACTGCGGCCTTCGGTGGAGCACCCTATGGGGTCACGAAACGTGTGCGGGGTTCGCCGAAATGGGGGTGGAGCTTCATGCGGACCCTGCCACCTGGGGCCTGCGGTGGAGCACCCTTTGGAGGACATGCGGAGGGCAGAGGTTGGGAGGAGGGAGGAGGGGGAGGAGGAGGAGAGGAGAGGAGAGGAGGAAGAGAGGAGAGGAGAGGAGAGGAGAGGAGAGGAGAGGAGAGGAGAGGAGAGGAGAGGAGCGGAGAGAAGCGGAGAGGAGCGGAGAGGAACGCGGGGCATTGTCTTTTAAAAACGAGCACCTAACACCACGGGATGGCTCTTCTTTTGTTTATATCTATATATATATACACATACGTATACATGCTGTGTATGTCTATCTCTCTCTCTCTCTTGTGTTCTCTCTCTGTCCCTCTTTCTCGCTCTCTCGCTCTCTCGCTCTCTTCCGTTTCCACTACCCCCCTGCCCTCTTCGTTCCCCCCTTGCTCCATCATCCTTTCTTCCCTTCCCCACGTCGTGAACCCTTGCTACTGAATGATAACTCTTTCTTGCCGCGCTCCCAGACGTGCCTGCCGATAGGGCGGGCCGGACCTTTCGCCCGAAACGTTTTCACCATCTGTGATCTTCAAACTTGACTTTGTAGGCGCTTCACAGACGGAGGGGGCCACGTTCAAGCTGGAGTTCTCGCTTTTGCGCCGCGCGCATTCGCCTGAAAAGCGTGCGACCGATGCCAGGATAGAAGGCGGTTCCTCTGCAGAGTTTGGATCTCGGTGTCGTTTCGCGCACATTCGTCTTACCAGCTTGCAGTGGTTACTAGGATGGGTGCCAGTTTCTTTCAAATGATTGGGGTTTCGCTGGGGCCTTCCGTACAATCAAAGACCAGAAGCGTCGTCACATTTAGCAGCTGCAAGGGCGGAGGGCGGCTCCTGTGCAACGTGGGATTTTCGCTTGAAACTTCTGGGCGCCCGCGACCCGAAGAGTGGCAGTTGTGTAGCATTTGCACATATGTGGGCGGCCACTCGTCACCACGGGGGTTTCGCGGGACACCTCGCTGAAAAATATGACCATCTGTTCTCGCGTTCTTGCTCGTGCCGAGAGATGCAAGGCGGTTCCTCTTTCAGAACGGGGCTCTCGCCTGAATGGCAGGTCCACTGGGTGCCCATAGATCCCTCTTCGAAATCATACGCAAGTTTTTCCAGCGACATGGCGGCGCCCCCGGGCCCCCAATTTGAATGTTGACGCCGATGCTGGCGACTGCTATTTTTGGTTGACCCCGCGGGCCGCGCCGCGCGCGTCCATCAACATTGACATTTGGGGGCGAGGGGGTAGGATAAGCTCTTGCGTTTGATTTCGAGGGGGCTGTAGTTCAAAAGGGGGTGCTTGATGTTATGAAAAGAAGGTTGCTTGTGGGAGGGACTTCTGCGGAGGGCACGTTGGGCTGAAGGGCATGTTGCAGCATAGGCGTTACATCTTGGGTTTACTCTGGTCCTCCTCCTCCTTCTCCTCCTCCTCCGCTTCCTCCTCCACCCCCCTCCTTCTCCTCCTATTCTTCTTCCTTCTCGTCCTCCTCCTCCTCCTCCTCCTCCTCCTCCTCCTCCTCCTCCTCCTCCTCCTCCCCCTCCTCCTCCTCATCAGCCTCCTCCTCCTCCTCCTCCTCCTCCACCCCCCTCCTTCTCCTCCTCCTCCTCCTCCTCCTCCTCCTCCTCCTCCTCCTCCTCCGCCCCCTCCTCCTCCGCCGACCATCCTGGGGAGGGGGAGGACGGCGACGAGGAGAGGAGGGGGGATGAAGAGCCAAGAGTTGGCCTATGTCCGAAGACCTATGTCTTAACGAGTAGAAGGAGAAGGATGGGGGTGTGTCAGGAGGGATGAGGATTGCTACTGCTGTGGCAGGAAGAGGAGGGTGTGCATGTGGTCGCCCGACGCACTCCCGATACTCTCCTCGCCGTTACAAGACCCACCGACAGGAGGGCGCCAGGTGGCGCAAGCTGCAGGGGAAGTGCGCCGGCGCCGAGGTCAAGGAGCCTCAGCGCGGAGCCCCCCTGACCGTGGTTTCCGACGGCGGCGGGCCCAAGGGACGCTGCCCTTTTGACGCTGCCGTGTCGCAGCTCACGGCCGCGCTGTCCACTGCAGTGCGCGACTGCATGGACTCGGACGACGAGGGCACAACGCAGCAGCGGTTCGAGAAGTGGGCCGTGCCGTGGTGCGCGGAAGAGGCAACCTACGTCTCCGCCCCGTCGGGCGAGAAGAAGGAGGTTGGCATCGAGTACAGGCGCAGCTGATGGGAGGAGGAGGAGGAGGAGGAGGAGGAGGAGGAGGAGGAGGAGGAGGAGGAGGAGGAGGAGGAGGAAAAGGAGAGAGAAGGAAGGTGGAGGAAATTGAGAAGGAACAGGAGGACGACGACGAGGAGGAGCAATCGTGCAGGCGCGGCTGCTGGACTCCTCGAAAGCACGCGAAGCACGCGCCGCTGCCTACGCACTCTGTGAGCCATGGCCTCTGCGGCCCCGATGTGGAGGCCCGCCTGCCGCAGGCGCCAGGGAAGGAATTCGAACTTGAGCATGAGGAGGACAAAGAGGGGAGGGGGAGGAGGAGGAGGAGGAGGAGGAGGAGGAGGAGGAGGAGGAGGAGGAGCAGGAGTAGAGGAGGAGGAGGAGGAGGATGAGGCGGGAACGGGGATACAGGTGAGGAACAGGGGGGGGGAGAAGGACAGGGGGGAAGGAGGAGAGATAAGGAGGAGGAGGAGGAGGAGGAGGAGGTGGAGGAGGAGCAGGAGGAGGAGGAGGAGGAGGAGGGGGAGGAGGAGGAGGAGGAGGAGGAGGAGGCCCTATGTGAGAGGGCAGCCTGTCGGGGGCGTTGTGCGGCTGACCATTTGGTTTTCAGGCTCACCCAATGCCCCCCCTGCCAGGTCCAGCAGACCCTTCCCGCCTGACCCCCCCCTCTATGGAGCCAGTTTAGCTCCATGGCACTTGCGTAGTGCAACGTTTTCACGACTGCCTCTCGCAACCCATGATTGTTTCTTGCCTATTGTTTGTCCGTTGGGTGCGAACTGGGAAATTGTCGCAGCGGAGAGGCGACTGGACAGTAGGCTAAATGGTCGTTCGCACAGAGCGTAAACGGAGTGCATGGCGCCAGCGGCACAACTGTGGACGTCTTCAGGACTCCGGTGGTGGCTACATGAGCAGCATGTGCAAGGGCAATGGACGGAGTGATGTGTAAGGAGGGACGAGGTTCGGTGGCAGTGAGCGGCTCAGTCTGGCGATCTGCGTCGGAATCAGCACGTTGATGCCTTTTGGCGGTCCAGTAGCGTGGTCGCCAGGCGACCTCGCGCAGGGTGCAGAAGATGATCCATCCACCGCGAATCCCTTTCCCGAGCGGTGGAGACCAAGCAAGGGTGAGCCAGGACGGTGCCTGGTGCTGGGGTCCCTTTCTGCGGTGCAGGCCACCTAAGCCCCGCAGCTCGCAGAGGCGAGCCGAACGCTGACAGTCCATGCTGCGAGCGCATGCCTCTTGTAAGACGAGCTTAGCCGCGCGAGGGCAAGACGTGAACGTGACAGGGCGGAGGAATGGAAGGGGATTTATACAACACACTGCCATTTGTCACTAGCCTTTTGCGTAAAACGAGCGAGCGATTACAATGTCGATTTCCACAACTTGCCCTCCTCAGAACGAGTTGGGCGATTATGCAGTCAAGCGCCCGCTGCTATGACAGGCCTCTCTAAAATTGTCGGGGTGATTGCGGTGCCATGACCAGCCTCTCTCTTTCTCTCTCCCTCTTTCTCTTCTTGTCCACTGCACAAAACTGGCGATGCGCTCGAAGAATGGACCCACCAGCCCTGTCAGACCGGCGTGCGCCGAGCGGCCCAGGAACCACAGAGAACAATTGCCGCACGTGTGTGCGAGGCGTATTAGGCGGACCGCCGCGTCTGCGGCACCGCACCTGGCACGCGCACGGCACGATGCCGCGGACGCACGGTGAACGCCAGCAGCCTCCAGAAGCACACCGCCGAGGCCGCGGCGACCACACCGTGACCGACGACTGCGGCGTCGTGCATCGCGTGTTTCCTTCGACGATCCGACCTGCACAAGGAGCCTAAAGGAGCCCCACGAGTCACAGGACGCCGCGGACGCACGGTGAACGCCGGCAGCCTCCAGAAGCACACCGCCGAGGCCGCGGCGACCACGCCGTAACCGACGGCTGCAGCGTCGTGCACCGCGTGTTTCCTTCGACGATCCGACCTCGCACAAAAATATCACGCCGCGACTCACAGGACGCCACGGACGCATAGTGAGCGCCGGCAGCCTCCTCGGGAGCGAGAGCGCACGGTCGAGGCCGCCGCGACCCCGCTGCGATGCGCCAGCGGGCCATCGTGGCCGGCAGCCTGCGCGCACGGCTCGACCCTCACCGCCACAATCGCAGGGCGCCTGGCGCAAATGCATCCCAGGCTTGAATAGTACGGAGGGGGACGGCAGTTGACCCTCTTGGGGGGGCCCCTCGTCGCCCTGGCGGCCGCCAAGGCGGGAGGGGGAGGGAGGAGGGAGGAGGGAGGAGGGAGGGGGAGGAAGGAGGATGAGGAGGGAGGAGGAGGAGGGAGGTGGGGGGGGAGGAGGGGGTGGGGGGAGGAAGGGAGGAAGGAGAGGGAGGAGGGAGGAGGGAGGAGGGAGGAGGGAGGAGGAGGAGGGAGGAAGGGCAGGAAGGGGGAGAGGGAATATGGAGGAGGGAGGAGGAGGAGGAGGAGGGGAGGAGGAGGAGGATGAGGAGGAGGAAGATGGAGAAGGAGGTAGGCAGGAGGAGGGGGGAGGATGAGGAGGGGAGGGGAGGGGAGGAGAAGTAGGGAGGGAGAGAAGGAGAGGGAGGCAGGAGATGAGGAGGAGGAGAAGGGAGAGAGGAGGAAGAGTAGGTAGGAGGAGGAGGAGGAGGAGGAGGAGGAGGGAGGGAAGGAAGGAGGAAGGAGGATGAGGGATGAGTAGGAGAGGAGGAGGAGGAGGAGGAGGAGGAGGAGGGAGGAGGAGGAGAGGAGGAGGAGGAGGAGGAAGGAGGAGGAGGGAAGGAAGGAGGAGGAGGAGAAGGATGTGAGGAGAAGGAGGAGGAGGAGGAGGAGGAGGAGGAGGAGGCGGAGGAGGAGGAGGAGGAGGGAGGAGGGGAGGAGGGAGGAGGAGGAGAGGAGGAGGAGGAGGAGGAGGAGGAGGAGTAGAGGAGGAGAGGTAGGAGAGGAGGAGGAGGAGGAGGGAGGAGGAGAAGAGGAGGGAGGAGGAGGAGAGGGGAGGAGGAGGGGGAGGAGGAGAGGAGGAGGAGGAGGAGGACGAGGAGGAGCAGAAGGAGGGAGGAGAAGAAACGTCATACATCGAAGAAGTAGAACGCGCAAACATAAAGTTTCGGAGCTCCGCGCGGATTTTGTGGATCCGCGCTGGGGCCGGGCGTGTCCGCGCGCCAGGGAGGGGGGTCCAGCGCGGATCCGAGACATCCGCGCGGAGGGCCAAAAGCTCATGCTTAATGGCGTGTTCTCTTCCGTGGACGCAGCTCGGGCACTTGGTGCGTTTGGGCCCCAGGAGCGGGTCCGGGCATCCATCTGGAGCTGTCGTTGTCTCAGCTTGCCCTGCTCCGGTGGCAGCGAGCTCGTCGAGCTGCGGCTCGAGGAGGTGGTGACTATCAGTGGCAGACCTCCTCGGCTCACGTGCTTCTGCGGCCCAGCTTGGCGTCGGGCACGCTGTGCCGTGGGAGGTGCCCCGTGTCACAGACGCACAACGAGCTCGCCCGCGGTGACGCAGCCGTGCCGGCAGGCCCCCGAGACCAACAGTTGCGGCAGTCTTGAGCACAATGATTTCCACGACCCGGCCTGCACCAGCACCCCTGGGGGGCGTTTTGTGCAACGCTGGCAGCTCGGGAAAGCAATTTTTTGTTTCCGCAGCACAAGCCTCAGCGGCTTGAAGAGCCCTGCACGGCCTTCCCCCCGAGACCCCGTGACAAGAGGCACCCGTAAGCATTTGTCGCGGAGACCCTCAGCCCAGAAGCCGTCTGCAAGTCGACCAGAAGAACTTCCCTCCTGGCGTCGGATGCAGCGCCGTCGGCGTGGGACAAGACTGCCAGGTCCTACGACACTGGTGGGGGTGCCCCACCGTGCCGCCCATGGCATGCGCTGCGGCAGGAGGTCGCGGACGTGGTGAACGCCAGCAGCCTCCAGAAGCATACGACCGAGGCCGCGGCGACCACATTGTGACCAAGGACTGCGGCGTTTTTCGTCGCGTGTGCTTCGACCACTCGACGTGCACACGGAGTCCCAGGGCGTCGGGCGCAACGGCGTCCGCGTGGCCATCGACTTCTGCTTCTGCGACAGCCCTGCGTGCCCGTCGACCCGCCTGCGCTGCCGCGGCAAGAGGCACCAGCGACCATCAATTGTCGCAGCCCTCAACTAAACTGCTTGTTCGACCCGACCTGTACCATCTCCCCTCTGACGTATGGTGTCACATCGGCGGCGTGGGACAGGACTGACTCCTCTGTGACACTGGTGCCGGTGCTCCAGCGTGCCTCACATGGAACGCGCTGCGGCAGGACTCCGCGGACAGGGTAAATGCCAGCAGCCACATGACACCCGCGACCGAGACAACCGCCGCAACGATGCCGTGATGACGCTGTGATTGCGGTTGTTGCTCGACGATTTCTACGAGAACATCGATCACTTGCATCGCCAATCAAATAGGGCTAAGTTCTTGACGCTTCGCGTATCCCATCAGCGGGTTCCTTTCAGGGGCTGCCCTGCAGACTCCCTGGATTTGCACGCCTTGGCTCAGACGCCCTGGGTCGCTGCCGCCTGCCGCCTGACCGCGGCCCCGCGCGCGCCCGCCCCCCTAGTCGCGGCCGCAGCCCGACCGTGACCGCCTGCCGCTGGCGCGTCCGCCTGCGGCTGTAAAAAAAAAGTATCCCATCAGCGGGCGTGCCAGGGTTGCAGTTGCCCGCTGTGCCCCGCCCTTCGCCGTCCGGTCTGCCCGGTGCTGGCGCCACTGTGCGACGCCCCGCAGTCAGTCGCTGGCTGCTGATTTGGTGCGGCTTAATGAGGTTCATTTTGTTCCTCGCATGTGCATTCCGGCGTTGGCTTTTGGCCCGCTGGCAATTATCTCGCTTGCTTCGTCGTTGAGCTGGCGCCATTTCGGCGGCTCCTCGCACTCTTCCCGCGCCCGTTCCCTCCTTTCGACGCTAAGGTGCGTCTCTTGAATTTAGCCGCTCTGTGCATGTGCAGGTGCGGTTGGCTGTCGACAGTGACGGCTGGCTTCGCAATTATCTGGCTCTGTGCCCCAGACGACCTGATTGACCCGCCCTCTGGAACCGTCCTCTGGACCGCAGATCAAAAAAGTATCCCATCAGCCCATCCAGAAACGATGCCCAGTCGAGTCCCCTCTCAGAGTCGCCTCGGATGTCGCTTGCAAGATTTTTGGAGGCCTTTCGGAGAGTCTTAGGAGCCTCTTGGCGGTCCTGGGGGCCTCTTGGAGCGGCTCGGGTGCCTCGGGGAGCCTCTTGGGGCCTATTGGGGTCTTTTGGGAGCTTCTCGGAGGCCTCTGGGGCGCCTCTTGGGGCCTCCTGGGCGCTTCTTGGGGCCCTCTTGAAGAGCTCTTGGGAGCCTTGGGAGTGCTCTTGGGGCCATGTTGGAGGAGCTCGATCAAACCAGATGGGAGCTCGAATTACGACTCTCTCGGGAGCCCCAAGAATCGCCTCTTGGGCTTCTCTTGGGGCGCTCTTGGAGCGCTCTTGGGCGCTGTTTGGGCCGTCTTGGGGCTCTCTTGGGCCTCTGTTGGAGCCCTCATGGGCCCTCTTGGAGCTGCCGTGAGGCTTCGGAAGGCCATCGGAAGCGAAAAGGCGAGAGGCAACAATGCTGATTCTCCTTAGGTGTTTGGAGGATTTTGACTTTTTGGCGGCATCCTGAGAAGTCTCGGAGGCATTTCGGAGCCGTATTGGAGCGTTCTTGGGGCTTCTTGGGGCATTTGGGGAGCCATTTGGGGGCATCTTGGGCCATCTTGGAGGTCATCTTGGGCTCACAGAGGCGCTCTTGGAGCCGTCTTGGGCTAACAAGTACCCTCTGACACCTCACGGGGCGCCCTTGGGAGGGAGCAGGGGGAGGGGTGCGGGGTAACCCCTCCCCGAAGGGGAAGAAAGGGGGTTGGAAGAGAAAGCTCGCTAGGCCACTTACGCCCTAGAAGGCTGGTGGGATGTCGACGACGCGCGTTAGACCTTCGCATCTGCTCATATTTACACACGCATGAGACTGTGTATGTATGTGTGGTGTGTGTGTGTGTGTGTGTTGTGCGTTGTGCGTTGTGTGGTGTGTATTGTGTGTGTGTGTGTTTGTGCTTGTGCTTGTGTTTGTGAGTGTGTTCGTGTTTGTGATTGTGCCTGTGTGTATGTGCGTGAGTGCGTGCGTGCGTGCGCGCGCGTGTGCGAGTGCGTCTGCGTGTGCGTGTGCGTGTGCGTGTGCGTGTGCGTGTGCGTGTGTATGTGTATGTGTGTATGTGCGATTGTGTGTGTGCGTGCGTGCGTTCGTGCCTGCGTGTGTGTGTGTGTGTGTTTGTGCGTGCGTGCGTGTGTCCGTGCGCGTGTGTGTGTGTGTGTGTTTGTGTGTGCGTGCGTGCGTGCGTGTGTGTGTGTGTGTGTGTATGTGTGCGCGCGCTTGTGTGTGTGTGCCTGTGTCTGTGTCTGTGTGTGCGCGCTTGTCTGTGTGTGTGTGTCTGTGTCTGTGTCTGTGTCCGTGTCCGTGTCTGCGTCTGTGCGTGTGTATGCGTGCGGTGGGCCCTATCCTCCTTCGCCCCTCTACCTCTCAGGCGTGGGCTTATGACTGTTGCCCTGCATGACCTGGTTTCTGCTTCCCAGCGGCCGGCCATGTCTGGCTCTCGGTGGGGCGTTCTGCGCCCTGCGCGTGTCCACAAGGGTAGATTCATCGTTTTGGCAATCTCCCTGCTAGACACTTTTCACCTCTGCCTGTAACCCACATGGCGCGTCGGAGGACAAAGCGCGTGTGAGTGCGCGCGAGTGTGTGTGTGTGTGTGCCTAACAGTTCCTCTTCACACCCATCGCTTGCATGCTGCGGTTGTGCTGCTGCACGCCGCGCTATCGACAACGTTCGGTTGCAATTAGCACCTCCATCTGCTGCCCGCGCCTGAGGATCCTCTGCGCCGCCGACTAAAAAGTGTGTGTGTGTGTGTGTGTTTGTGTGTATGTGTGTGTGTGTGCGTGTACGCCCCCGCGTCCGAGGGGAATGCGACCGGGAGCAGTCCCGCGGCCGTCTTCGCCGTAACACAGATGCGTCCGTGTTCGCATCCCCTCGAACCGCTCACTCCCCTCCCCCGGCCAGCTGGCAGCTTTCCCAGGATGGGCCATTATGCGGGAAAGTGGATGCCGCGGATAGCACCCATGACGCCTTGGAACGCTTGCCATCTTTGGAGTGGCAGCGAAGGCAAAGTTCGACACTTTCAATGCCTTGCAGGGTCAACAAAGGCAAGGCGTTCTACGGTTTCATCCTGCACGCTACGGTCTTTACGCACCCATGCTCTTGTCCGCTACCTGGCAGGGGCCCTATAGCGCACAACTCCCATCGCATACGCATCGAAATACGTGTCTCACACACTCTGCCGATGATCAGGCATGCGGGGCTATCAGATCCCACCGCCGCGCCACGCGCATGACAAGCAAGAAGACGTCACCAGTCGTTATCTCATTCCTTCTGCCCTCCTCTTCCGCCCCCCCCTCTCCGCATGGAGGGGT